CCTACCTGGGTGGGGTGCGACAGGTAACGGTTCTTAACTGGTAGCGAGGAGATAGTTCTCAGGCCTTTGCCTACACGATATTGATAGCTAAGTCCTTATAACTTCTATCTTATCGCGCCTATTCCTCTAATCTTCTTAAGTCCTCGCCTAGGACTTAATTACTCGGCGTGGGAGGAGAAATAGTTTTCTCTCGTGGGAGGAAAGACAATTCTCGGGTTTCGTAAGGTAAATCTTAAAGAGCGTAAAGGTAGGTTTTATTGATAACTTATATGTAGGAAATAAACAAGAAGAACGTGTGAAGAGCTAATACTAGGGGTCCTAGTGACCCTTTATATAGTAGCTCTTCACCTAGCGTGACTCATACTTATGCGTCACGTGAACCTTGTGACTCATAACTATGAGTCATGCAAAATCCTTCAGCTGACTCCTATGAGTCGCTGCGCAACATACCTAACCAATCAAAACATAATAACCAATTCAGGTGCGCAACTCGCGTCACCTGAGTGAAACCCATGACTCATAATCTGAGTCATGTGCGAAAATCATAACATTGTGTGACTCACAAACGTGAGTCACGAACAGGTAAACATAATAACCTATGGCGTACTAATGTGCGTCATGTGAAATCCCCATATACCTATAGCTCGGAATTCCGAGCTATGTGAAATCTGCCTTGCTTAGTCACAGTTTGTGACATTAGCTTCCCTCTCCCTCAGCCCGAGTCCCATTGGGCTTTATTCGCGTCTCCATCCTCCTTGGTGGTTCCTCCAGCTCTTCTCCCCGTGGTAGTAGCTGCGATTGATTCTTCGGACCGCTCTTGCAGTCCTGTCCGAGTGTCTCCGAGTCTCTTCTGCCTGGCTCTCCAACTCCCTTTCCAGGGCTTCCCTTGCTCCCCTCTCCTTTGCCAGCTCGTTCTCGAGTTGACGTACCCTCAACTTGGTTCCTCTCTTCATTGCCTCCAGCAATACTTGTGTTAGCCTGAGGTCTTTTTCCAATTCCGCTATCACCGCCTGTTGGTCCTCTGCCTGAGGCAACCTCGGCGTAGCTTCTTCCATCTCTTCCTCCCAGGAGACGTGCTTTGTCTTCCTGGGTTTTGCCCATTTCTGTTTTTTTGCCCCCCTCCTCTTCGACTCCGTCCTCGGAGTCGGTTTGATTTATTGTACCAGAGCCACCGGCTCTGGTGTCGGGGATCTCGCGGGTGATCCCAGGGGTGAAGTCTTGGGTGGCCATTGGTTTGCTTCCCGAGGCCAATATCCTGAGGCTTCCTTTTCGCTTTTGTGCTCTTGGCACTCGTCGTTGTAGCATCGTGTCCATGACAGGTTCGCGTGTTCCCTTTCCGGTGTGGGGGTTTTCGATAGGGGTAAATCCACCATATTTACCCAGTCTTCGTCTCTGGGTTCTTCCTTGGTCGGTGTCGGGGTCCGATACCCCGGGCTCGTTGGTGTAATGTGTTTGAACGCGTCGCGTTCTGGAGTGTTCTGTAGAGCCGACGGTATCGGCATTTGTTGGTAATTCATCTTGGGATGTTCCCAATGCTATGAGTCTGTGCGGTACAACGTGGGTGTGACACGCTTTGATTCGGGTATGTCCTCGACTGTTGGCTGTTGGTTTGTGTGGGTATCGTTCGTGGAATTGTTGGACTGCATTTTGTGCGTGTTCGAAGTTTTCGG